ACAAAACCTATACTTTGTAATGGCAGATATTTGCTAACCTAGGGTTGCTTATATACCAGATCTTACCCTCTACTGTTACAGTAAACGTCATCACAGTTCAGAACCCCCTAAAATGTGGACATCTTAATATGAGAAGCGGCACACTCCTCCATCATTCTACAATACAGCGCTCAGTGCCTGAATGACTGCAAGGCATGATCGTTGCCCATTTGGGAGGTAGGGGCATGTCTATGCACATGCTGACTTTCAGTGGGTGTTTGCATTATAACTTTACATCACTCTATTTGAACCGTGTGTTTGCTCTACCTTTTTAGTTTTGAATCGAATAGGGAACGGCTAATGCCCTTCCATTGATTTTTTGTTGTCTGTGCCCCATTGTGTCTCAGGTGCCTTGTTAGCACTTTAAGGTATTTAATGCAGGACCCATTGACACCTGGCCACTTTAGTGCGTTGCTTTATTGTGCATTATGTTGCACATTAACATGTGTTGCATTAAGGCAGCCAATTTAATTAGACTAGGCTTCCAATACACCAAGGTGGACAGGAAAAACTACCTGCAGTAATTTTGCAATGCAGCAGGACGCAGCTTAGAGCAGTCTTACTTTGCATTGTGGTTCCATTTAGAATAAATATGTAACTTGCTTTACCACAACACAATGGTGTGAATGGGCCCTAATGTTATAATTATTTGTCTCCAGAACATCAGCTTCGACAAGCAATTACAAAGCATTTCACAAGCTGTAAGCAACTTTTTAGAAGCAATAAAAGTACTCTTTGGCCACAGTCCGAAAGTGGTAGCCATTGCATTCAAGCGTTAAGTAGGCTTTTAGCGAGTGATAGCAGTGCTGAAGCTTCTAAAAACTATAACCAGCACACTCACTACCTTTGCCCCCTTTGACTAAAAAAAAATCACATCAGCATACAGCTCGGCATACCGATATGAAATCATCTTACATTCATTAGCTTATCAAAACATATTTTTATTTACAATTCCTTTTTTCCCCACTTCCTGGTTCACTTTGGCACAAATTTTGAAATCATGCCCAAGTGTTGCATGCTGGAAAGACTACATCAGCAGAGCTTTGCTGGAAAATCTCCTCTGTGATCTCATGAGATCTCAGGGAAAGGCATTTTCCTCCCCTGAGACGATCTGCATGGTCACATGTCCTAGTCACATGTGCCAGAGTTCCAGGAAGTAAAGAGAGATCTAGTAACCTGTCCTTTGTAAAAATGGCTATGGTTAGAAAACTGGGGAAGAAAAGAAAAATAAGGTATACAAAGCCTGCAATTATCTAGAAGTATGTGTTTGTAGATTGCCATTACTAAACATTTCTAAAGGTGCCTTTGTTGTTATTTTGAAGAAATGGGCAAAAGTTCCTCTTTAACATTTGTATTCAGCACTCACTGACTGGAACTGAAGGATTCCACTTTTTTCCTTCCTTTATTCTGGAAATCCTTGATGCCCTAATTGTTGCTTTGCAAAACAAAAATTGTGCACATGTAGCGTAGTAAAAAGGTATTAAATATAAATTTAAAGACTGAGGGGAAAAAAGTTCATATAAAAATGACCCAAAACCATTATAGTGTTCCTTTATGCAATGGCCATCATAGCAGTGTTAGAAAAAATAGAAAGTGGAGAAAAAAAACATTTTCTGATATGCTCTCTCTGCATAAATATGACAGCTAAAATGGTTCTGGTCTCTAATGGCACAATAACTGCTGCATTAACATTCATAATCGAACCACATGGAAGCATTCCAGAAGAAACAGTATTATAGAAACTTGAAATCTAATTCTATAGTACTGTACATTACTGTAGTTTATTATTACAGTGGGACACAATTTGGAAATCTGGATGCATGTCACTGGTTGCTGCCAATATTTAAATCCAGGCTCCTGTAAGGAAAATTAGGATCATGAGTAATATTCATGCTCCTCTTGCATTCTCTATATGCTCTCTCCTGTTATGTACAATATCTATCTGCAATGTAGAAGCCAGCAGCTTAATAAGTAATTTATCGAGGTCTTGGCGCAATCCAAATGTCCTTGCAAATTTTACATTTATAAATCAATTCCACAGTGTCCTTTAGAGAATTCTCTATGGTGTATGAAAAACAAACCCTTGGGCCAGTTGCAAAACTAGAAATAAAACCTTCTGCACTGCTAATGAATGAAACAACAAAAATCCTAAGCAGCCAGCACCTCTTATGTGTCCTGGTGCAATCGTGAAGATGAAACAACAGTATTATGTAATGAAACAGTGTTCCAATAATCTGCAGAATATATTGGTCTGCAGAATGCAGGATATACAGTGCAAGTGAATCCACAAAGTAGGATGTTGTTTTTGGTCCAAAATCACTCCACAAGCAAATTCTGTTTAGGCCAGCAGGGTCCTAAATAGACATACTTAAATTTATTTGAACATATAAAGGGTTAGTGTGTTTTAATGAAGTCTATGGTTTTATGCTTTGTGCCACCTTACACTCTTAAATCCAGAGGCATTATCCCAACATGCTCTTGGGGGATTAGTTACTATTTTTTGGGGTGCTGGCGTGGCTGGCCGTGTTAAAGTATTTTAGTTGTCGTCTATGTCAAAAAGGTGAGCTCCAGTCCTTTAAGTGGGAAACAACTCTTGGGGTCACCGATACCTGTATGGGCTCACCGTGGATGTGAATTGGCTTGTGGAGCGATTTTGGACCAAAAACAACAAATCGCACTTTGTGGATTCACTTATATCCTTTATTCTGCAGATTATTAGAACATTGGTTCACTATATTATATTCGGTTCGATTGGACACTTATTCAGCACAATATCATGTATTTATTTGTTGTTAATATGTTTTATTTATATAGCATATGTTGTAATTTTGTAGTGCCACATTTGTATGTGTTGGGACATGTTTACATTAGGTGATATTTATACATTTATATATCTAAATTTCTCCTGCCTCTGACACGCTAAAAACCCTGAGGGCTCTACACTGGGCTCCAGCCGAGGTAAAGGTGTTTTGCAAAGAGTTGGTCTTTAATCTAAGTGCGAGTAACCTGAGGACTTCACAAAAATGATTGTAGGTTCCTGTTTAAGATCATGACCTAGAGCAAGAGATACCATTGTGCATCGTATTAGTAATTAAATAACAGTCTCAAAATCAGTGACACAAAAACTTAAAACACGTTAACAGTTTTTTTATGTATGTTAATTTATTATCATAACGCAAACTATATAAATGTGATCAAAGCACATTATGAAACAGAGATAAGGGAAAAAAAAAAAGTAACACCTTCCATACAATACTATATTGTTAGCGAAACTGTTCAGCTACTTCAAGAACAAGTGATTTAAGGCCATCTGCGGTTGTTGATTTGATCTACTATGCTGCTTTCTGTACTGATACATACATCAGAGGTATTGAATAGTTACTACAGCCCTGTTTAAAACAGCATTTCAATATCAAGTGGAAAACCCTCCATCTGTGTCTGCCTTGTTAGAATAGTGTTAGAATTTCTGAGATTTTTACTGTTGCCCGTGTCCTTGCTGTACAAATTTACCCTCTTGATTTGCCTTGAAGAGCATGGTCACCAGAACAGAAAGTGCAGACACATTGAACATTTTAAGATGTTGTTGGAACAGGGATAGACAGGTAATCTTCCAATGAGAAGTCTTGTTCTGGTGACACCTGTCTAAAAGAGTCTACCTCATTTTGAAGAGATCTCCTCCCACTTCCTGTTGTGTCTGGGGACAGGAGTGAAAGTAAAATCTGCCTAAGGGAACGCTACTAAAATGTTTTTAAACATTATACATGATGTTTTAACTATTTTCTTTTCTATCCTAAACTAAAAAATGTGTTGGCTTTGGATAAACCAATATACAGACCACTATTGTTCCTGTATAATTGCATGGCAAAGGTCTGGTAGAGTGTGTGTGGAAGAGTCCCTCACATTACTACACAGATGGGTAAGGATCACCTTTTAAACCAGAGATTCCATTAAGGTCTTGTAAGCACAAACATCTGCCTCTCAAGTTACAGCTACCTTATGAAACCACTGATTAGCACCATAGAGAGACCTCTACAATGAACAGATAGCAGCATTCAAAGCTAAGGACCAAAATAAACCATGTCTCATCTGTAAAAGAAGATTATGTATACATACCTTTCGAACAGGCTGGGCCTTCAAATGTCACAGCAGGTGGTGCACACACTGACCCATATGGAAGTCTCGAATTCCAGCAACAGTAAGGAAGCAGCAAAGTAGCAGAGTTTGAAGGCACAGGCCACTGGAAAGCTAAGTATACACTCTTCTTCTACAAATGTGGTTTACTTCAAAGTGACACTAAACTCAGGAGCTAAATCTTAAAAATGCATTCAAGTACCAAAAATGTAGCTTATTTGTGTACCACTCAGCTGTAGATCCTCAAATCATCTCTGAATTGGTGCTGACACTGTCCTTCCTTCTGGAGGGTGGCGACTTTTGTTTTCCATGGTCCATGTGTGTTTTAAAGTATACACCGCTCCAAAGTCACTGCCGTGATGGACTACAAGCTCATGTTTAGTTTTCTAATTTGATTTGAGATTATAGTCCATCATGGGAGTAATCTTGGAATGGTGGCTACTTTACAACACACACAGGGACCATGGGGAACACCCAGCAGAAGGATGGACAGTGTCAGCATGAATTTAGAGATGATTTGAGAATCTACAGCCGAGTGATGCACACATAAGATACATTTTTGTTATTAGTTAGGCTAATTGAATGCATTTTTACGATATAACTCCTGAGTTTACTAATCACTTTAATGTCTGTTGTCAGATTTCATTATGACAGGAAGTAAGCTTTGCCTGGCACTTATATGGACCTAATGTTATTTAATGCAGATGAGCACATGGAGGGCTGCATGTGATATGCTTTGAAAGCCAGAGTTTGCATCTGCATGTACAAGACCGTAAAGATGGGCTCTTGCTTGTTTAAATAGTTAAAAATTAATACAGACTAGCATTTCCCCACCAAAAGTAGATAAGTTAAAATATAGCAGCTAGCAATACAAGAGTCTCATTATGCATTGTGAAGATTTTAGAAGACATAGGCAGAAGCAACAGTTATTCAATACAGAAGTTCACTAAAAGATGATAATTTTCTGGTATCACTGGTTTCCCGATGACTCAATGATCAACTTCTGAGTGGCATAGAGCTGTCCAATTGAAACCTGCAAATATACAGAGAAATATAGATCACAAATCTAGAAACGCTTATTGACAATTATATAGACAAGTGATTAAACAGCAGGCATATATAAATCTATAAAAACTAGGGATACCACTTTTTTAAGACCGAGTACGAGTACAGATACTTTTGATCAAGTACTCGCCGATACCAATAACCGATACTTTTCCTTAAAAGACCAGGTCACATTTTTTCTAAAGCAATATAAACTAATGAGTTTAGGTCAGTTTCTTAATATTATGATTCATGAGATGACGAGGGAGCATGACGCCGGCTTCCCGGCCAATCAGAGTGCCGGGCGCTGCGTCATTACACGGCACCCGGCTTCCGGATTGGCTAGCTTTCTGACCAATTGGGAAGCCGGGCAGCGCATCATTACACGCTACCCGGCTTCCTGATTTGCCGGGTAGTCGGCTCCATGATCTCTCATCACAAGTGACGAGAGAGCATGGAGCAGTTTCCAGGCCAATAAGGAAACCGGGCAGGGTGTAATGACAAGCTGCCCGGCTTCCTGATACAGGAAGTACTCGTGCTAGGTATCGGAGCATTTGGGCGAGTACGAGTACTCACCCAAATACTCGGTATCGGCACCGATACTAGTATCGGTGCATCCCTAATAAAAACATGATTTTTTTTTCAAAAACAGTGCTGCTAGATATGCTGGTAAAAATATACAGTACTCTAAAGAAAAATACACACTACAGTGTATGCATGCTACACTTTGCATGTATTTTTATGAAAAGTATATATAAAGATTATAGCCAAAATGTATATATTTTAAGAAATAGCAAGTTTAGAATGTTCAAGCTTTTTTATTGAAAATAAGTTATGCTTTTGTAAGCAGCTGAAACACTGTACTTTGCACAAAGCTAATAATGGAAAAAAAAGAAACAACTGATGAAATTGATAAACAATTGTTTAAGGTGAGCACAGGTACACTTTACAGTTTAGTAAATGAAACGGCAAGTGTTATCAGCGACAGACACCGATCAACCAAATTTATTCAAATGCACACTAAAGGCACTTTAACCACATTCTCAAAATAATTTTCTAATGAAAATGTTCAACTGAAAAACATCATATATCACCCAGATATACTGGAATCAGTATTTGTTCACATTAATGAAATGTGTATTTTGTACCAGTGAATTCCTTTTTAGCTCTTAAATCAGTATTTTATCTAATACATCTTCATTTCACATCAACCTCAGATGGTTCCTTTTCCTGCTTTCCGCAATAGGCACCTCATGCCATTATTACCATGTCAATGCTGGTGTTATTTTACAGGGTAAGTATACACATAGGGTGGATTCACACAAGCAAGCCGCACTAAACGCATGGGTGCAGGTGTGAGGTGTAAGAGCATTGATGAGCCTGTACCGACGCATTGCACTGTTTCTTTTTTCTTTCACAAATTACATTTTATTTATAACAATTTTATTATTACAATATAATTAAATGTTATAATAACTAACCATTCCTGCCACGGCTGCAAATGTACCTAAATCTTGCAGCCCTGGCCCACTACACCGTTTACATTAGGGGGTAACCAAAATTCTAGTCCTTCAGCTGTGGTGAAACAACAATTTCCATTAGGCATTGCAAGACTGACAGCCTCAAGGTGCTCACACACCTGCCGATTATCGTACGATAATCGCGGGTGATCCCACAATCGTACGATAATCGGCAGGTGTATGGAAGGCGTGCGACTGTTTCTACTGTATGGTCTCATGTCTTGCACGCTCGAAAACCCGCCGAGAATTGTACGATTTTCGGCGGGTTAGTGGCATGCTTGGAAGATAAATGCAGAACGGGTCGGTGTGCAAGCGCACATTGCCCGCTCAGCATTGGAACCATCAGAAGCCCTCCCGTCGGCGGGGAGGGCTTGCGATGATCGCAAGTACGATCTGCCTGTCCAAGATGGGCAGATCGTACGAGATTTTAATTACCTTACAACCATCACACAACAATGTATGGTGTATGGCCAGCTTCAGGCATGACTGCCAGAGGTTGATACATGATGGGACTTGTAGTTCACCACAGCTGGAGGGCCACTGTTTGGCTACACCTGGTTTACATCCTGCTGTCTGAATCTTTTTCTCACTGGTTGTCCCATGCACTGGGTCCTCATAAACTTCTATGGGATGGTTTCCTGAGGCTTGAGACACTTGGAAGATGGCCCTATGTAAATCATAAGCTGATGGGGAACTAGCAGGTAGATGCATCCAGTGGTAGGCTCAAAGTATTAAAGCCAGAGAGGACTATACAACCAGCATTTTCAGGAGGCAATGGCAGCCTCTGCGTTTCTACCAATACAGGTTCCTTAAAATAGACAAAATGAAAAATGAATTATATTCTGCAGTCTGTCACTAGTATTAAGACAGAGTCCCCCTGTAACATTGTTTTATTACCTGCAGATTTGTGCATTTTCTACTTCTTTCTTAACAGGGTGACAATGCTGTTGTCATACAGCAGTGTTGTTTTCCTGTGGACAGGGGGATTGTCTTAGATAGACATGTAAAGGGATTTTAAAGCCCAGTTGAACTTTCTGTTTAAATCAGCGAATAAAAGCTGTTCAAAGTCTTAAGGTGCCCATACACCTTACGACCATCGCAAGACCTTTGTCTTGCGATGGTCGTAAGCTCATTGAAAGCTCGTACGATCTGCCCATCTTGGACGGGCAGATTGTACTTGCGATCATCGAAAGCGGGGCGGGCTTCCGATGACCGCAGTGAGGGGCGGGCTTCTGATCACTGCAAACGTGCAGTGTGCGCACACCGTCCGGTACGGCACTTGTCTAACAAGCAGGCCACTAACCCGCTGAGAATCGTACGATTCTCGGCGGGTTTTCAAGCCTGCTTGTTCGACGGAAGACGTGCGACCGTACAGTAGAAACGGTCGCACGCCTTCCATACACTGTACGATTCTCGTACGATCGCGGGATTTCCCGCGATTCTCGTAGTGTATGGGCACCTTAAAAGGTTTGTTTTTCAGGAAAGTAGCCCGAGTAGAAAAGTCTGTCCTGTGCCAGCATGCTGCAGAAAAGGGCCCTTGCACACTGTTGGGAAGCAGTGGTCACTCTGCTGAGGTCTGACGTGCAGCTCTGCAATCCACAAATATTATTTTCCCTGCTTCCATTGCTGAACTCTGGAAATGTTAGTCTGCAGCTGTCTCTAGCTCCATCATGTATTACATGAACTGAGCAAGAACACAGCTCAGGAGAGTAGAGTCATTTGAGCTACTTTACAAAATGAGTTGATAATCTTCACACAATAAATTGTGTGAATATTCACTTCATATATATATATCCAATCATGTGGAACGCAAATTCCTATTCATATTTAACACCCAATCATGTGCAGTTAAAAAACAAACAAGTATTTGCATTTATTGTGTGAAGATTCTCAAACCTTTAGTAAATTGGCCTTATTGAAATTATACTGGTTTTTAAGTCAGCATGACAACCAGGAAACTAGCATTTTTAGAAGGAGAGGTCAGCAATGGGCTAAAAATAAAGTACTGGGAAGATATGAATTTAGGCCCCATTTACATGGGGCTATAATGTGCGGCTGAGGATTCCTGGAGCAAGAACCAACAGATCCTTGACCAGGAGTGTCCGTACAGATGTGTCTGCTGTCCCTGTTCAAGTGAATGACAGGCTGACAGCGGCTGCCTGCATGTAATCATACATAGGACAAATACCTGTTGTCTAGGATAGATGATTGTCCTTGCACCCAATCTGTCTACATCCACCAACAATCGTCACCCTGAATCACAGGTAATTGTTTTAATGTACGATTATCTGCGGGCAGGTGCGGCCGCTGTCAGGCTGTCATTCACTTGAATAGGTACAGTGCCCACATCTGTACAGACATACCTAGGATTCCTGCCACAAGAGAGTTCTTGCCGCCGGAATCTCCAGCTGCAGCCTTAAGCCCCGAGTGACTGTAGACCAAAAATATTAAAATCCCCTTGTAACGTCTTTTGTTTTCAGAGGAGCAGAATATAAAATGGAAAAAAAACCCCTACTTTCTTCCATAAGACTAAACACAGCATAGTTGTATGTATGTTTAGAAAATGAGAACAGCGCCATTCTTGGCTGGCTGCCATGTGACAGAGGTCAACGTTTCAACATTTTCATAACCGTCAAGTTGCTGAAAACAAACAGCACTGAAAATTTACCTCTGAATCCAAAGTCTACTAAAACAAGGAAAGTAAAATCATTGTCAGAGTATTGCCAATGCTTGTACATATAATGTTATCATCTTGCCTAACACATTGAATTTTGTCCTTTTAATTTTCTATAAATGAATCCAAAGTGACAAAATGAATAAGGCCCCTTTCACATGGGCTGATCAGGAGAGGATCCATGCACGGATGGAGGAAAGAATTGAAACTGTCGGACCCCATATCAGTCTATGGGAATCGGATGTAAGCAGACATGTGTCCGTTTGCATCAGATTACCCCCGATCCAGCACGATCATGTCTGGGGAAACGGATCTCGGATTTGTTTGATTTTCAGGACCTGGTCAGAGTCGGTGGTATCTAGGTGTAAACGGACAATCGCTGCCCATAGACTGACATTGGGCATCCGATCTGGTCCGCCTAAAAAAATTTGACAGGCGGACCTGATCAGACCGCCCTATGTGGGGCCTTAAGATTACTTCTGTGCTACATTTATTAAGAAAAAAATTAAAAGTTAGGGCGCTCATATACTTGGTTTCTTTTAGATACAGTTTTGATAAAGTTTGAGGATTTTTTTTTACCTGTGACTTAATACTCAAATACCCCCCTTAGAGGGGGAATTGATGGTAAAGGCAGGGCTTTTGTAGTCAAATCAAATATTTGTTTATTGTCTGCTCATTTACACTATGCTCACGTCTATTAACCAATAAGGGCTCCCTCTGCGCCCCACCACCTCCTGGGCCCTTCCATCTCTGGAATTCCTTGGTAGAGGCACTGACTGGCTGCCTGAGCAGCAG